ACCCGAGCTGAACACGAGAGGCCGCGGGAGGAAGGGGATCCTCCACTGACCCCCGATGCTTCCCCCCCACCCCTGCAGAGACACCGCTGCCGAACGTGGAGGAATGCTACAACTATTTCACCGAACTGGTTTTCTGCCACTCCATTCGGGTGAGTGCCCTCAGGCCGGGCCAGGCAGGGAAGGCCGAGGTGGTGGGAGCCAGCCGAGACCCTCCACGACAATGCCCACTTGGGGGAAATAATGGCCTCCTCCCGCCCACCTCCTTTCCCGTTCCTTCTGCAGAGGCCTCCCTTCAGCATCGATCTCTTCAGTCAGGACCAGCTGGTGCTCATAACCGATTACGTGATCAACACCTACTTCCGACACTTCAAACTTTACAAATATGCTTTCACTCCGCAGGTAAAGCCCTCTCTCCAGTCACCCCAGAGGGTGCGGGGGGGGGGGCCTCCTGTCTTCCTTCTTCAGCGTGGGAGGCGGGCGGCACTGGCTTCTAGACATGCGGTGCCACAAGTTATGTAACGTTGCCCCCAACACAAGTCTCTGACCCTCGAGGGGACAGCAGAAGGGCTTCATAGCATGAGGCTACAGAACAACGGACCAAGGAAATCAACAGATTAGGTTATAAGAGGAGTGAGAGTTCTTGTTTGTATGTAAAAGGTCAAGGAAAAATTAGTTATCAGCATTATATTTGTTGTTGAGAAAATCGGAATTCTTTTATGTTCCCTTTCCCCTTTCCTTATGTCTGTCTTGTTTTCTATGTCGATGTTTGTGCATGGCGTTAAGGGTTTTTTGTATGCCTTCTAGTTTTATTTCTCTAATAAAAAATTAAATCCAAAACCGATAGTGTAGAGTAGCCCTCCTGTCTCGCAAACGTGCCCTGAATCCACTATCTCCTTCCTACTCTAGGTGCGGTTGGATATATCCTTCTCCTACATTGGGATGCCAGAGCCCAAAGAGGAAGGTAAAACCACCTTTTGAACCTGTAGCGCTTCTACACCCTCCTTAGCAGGGTAAGAGACGGAAGATCCCCGGAGGGTCTCGGTCATCCGCAACCACAACGCTTCATAGGAGGACAGGAAATACCTCCACGTATGCAGCTGCTTTATGCAAAGTCAGTCAGTCCTTCTAGCTCAGCACGCTCTCTGTGCTGACTGGCATTGGCTGTCCTAGGTTTCAAGCAGAGAGAGGTCTTGCCTGGCACTCGCTGAGATCTTTTCAGTGGGAGATCCCAGGGCCTGGATATGGGCCTTCCACAGGTAATGCCTGGGCACTCCCCATTTTGGGATATGACTGTTCCTTCTTAGAACTGGGCCGCAAGGAGTTAAAGGTGTTGGTTTTGACCTTTGAACCCTACATGGCTTGGGACCAGGGTAGCTGAAGGACCATCGCAGGTAGAGGTCCTCCTGACTGTTCCGTTGACCAAAGGTACACAAGAGCAGGCCTTTTCAGTGGCAGCCCCACAATTCTGGAACAACCTCCCACAGGAGGTGTGCCCGGCCCCCTCGTTCTCTGATGTTTAGGAGGCATCCCCAGACAGTCTGATTTATGGCACTTGATTAGCTCTTCTGTCCACCAGCACTTTCAAAGTATGATATTAACCAGTGGTTTTTACGTAGTTCATGATTTACACTGCAAGCTGCCTTGAGTGCCTATAAAACAGAAAGGTGGCACATACATGTTTTAAACGTATAGTCGTACGAGGGCCGCACAGCTTCAGGCTTGGATGAATGAAGGCTCCCACCATCGCATGTCTGCAGCTCAGGGACGGTTCCGTTCCCCCTTCCCACCTCCCCCCTCCCAAGCCTTTCCCCTTTGTAATGATTTCATGTTTAACTGTGTGTGTGTGTGTCTTTAAAAGTTTGGTTGCATGCCTGTGTGATAGTCTAGTGTGGTTGAAACAGGCAAGTGGTGTGATTGGTGAGTGACAGAGAGGGGGAGGGGTTTTGGAAGTGATGCTGTGTGGAGGATATGTATGTCTATCAGGAGTGAGAGAGATTTGACAGGTGATGAAGACAGTTCATAACTCATTAGCATATGCCACACCCCCTGACATCAGGGGCCCGGCAGTGGACCTGCAAGGCCGGCGGGAGTGGGAGGAAGCCCTGCCAAGGCCCTCCCTGGCCCCAGGCAGGCAGGGGTGGGGAGAGGCAGGGAGGAAGCAACTTACCCTCCCTCTTCTCCTGCCTCCTCCTGGCTGAATGAGGGCTGGAAGCGGGGGGCGGGGCTTCGTCGTGGTCCCTGCCCCCCCGCACCTCACTGCGATCTCCCCCGAATCGACCTCTGCACATACTGTTTACATTGTTCTACCCTCGTGTTTATGCTTTATTTAAATAAATCCTATTTCATTCAAGTCTGCCAGCTCTGAAAGAAATAAGTCTCAGGAAACACATAGACCCTCATGAAAGCCTAAAACCCTCGACCAACCTACCCAGAAATAGAGAAAGCATAAAGGTTTGGAAATCCTTTTTAAAATTTCCTGGTGGCAGCCGGATATATACAGTAAAATAAAACATAAAGAACACTTTTAAAGTAAAACCAGACCTCCCCAGTTAAGGGGTCGTCACACCCTTCCTCTCTCCTACAGCAGCAGAGCCGGCTGAGGGGACGGAGCCTCCCTTGTCGCCTCTGCAGGAGGAGAGCGAGGAAGCCGCCACAGCCAAGGAAGGTAAGAATGCAGGGGCGGCTCGGAGCCCCCAATGCCACACCTGTCTTTGCAGGGGCTTGGCTTCACCCCCTCGGGCATCCAGGGGGCCCTCTCTCACCCCGCCCCCCCTCCTCTCTAGACCCCACGGCCGCCCTGCGGGAGTACATCTCGGCCCAGCTCAACCAGGAGCTGGGCCAGCTGCGGCTGTTGGTGGAGCAGCGCCTGCGGGCCACGGAGGAGCAGTTCAACAGCCGGCTGGTGCCGCTGGAGAAGGGGCCCAGTGCCAGCAAGGGGCCCGGCAAGGGCAAGAAGAAATGAGCCGGGAGGAAGGAAGAATAAATATTTTGAGAGCAGGACGGTGCCTTCTTTTTTTCTGGGCATGGTAGAGGTTGCAAAGAACCACCACCCCAAAGCCTTCTGTTGCACATCAGAAGTAGTTGGTGGCCGGAGATCTCTTGCTGTTACGAGTTCCAATGTTCCCTCTAAGCTGTGGAGTCTTGTGAGCAAAAATTCTACTTTTTGAGCTACTGGCATTAAAGTTGCGAGTGAGCGATTTGGGTACTGCATAAATTAGCCTGCTCTGGAGCCCTCCTTCCCAAGCTAAGACAGAAATGTGTGAGCCGGAGGCTAAAAAACTGTGAGCTAGCTCACCCTAACTCAGCTCAGAGGGAACCCTGGTTACGACTGATCCTCAGGCAACCGAGGTCAGCTCCCCTGGAGAAAAATGGCTGCTCTGGAAGGTGGACTCTACGACATTGTACCCTGTCGAAGTCCCTCCCCTCCCCAAACCCCGCCCTCTTCAGGCTCCACCCCTAAAATCGCCAGGTATTTCTTAACCCAGAGCTGGCAACCTTGATCAGAAAGGAGGAAGGTTTGCCAAACTGTGACCAAATGAGGGCAGCATTCGGCTTCTCAGTATCAAGGACTGCAAACGTTGCTCCTTATTCTTCCTCCCCCTCTCTTGATTATTTGATCTTCTTCACTGTTTTTTGTTTCCTCCCGAACTCGCACTTAAAGCATTCAATTAAGAGTGATGCGAGAGATGGGTTTTAGAAGTGTGATGTACTTTAGGCGATGGTCCCCTACAGAATGACTAAGGAAAGGCTGCATTCCCTGGGAATGTTTTCTTAAAACATTATGGAGCTTTCCAGACAGCCAGTCGCTGTTTGGGATCCAGACCATTTCCTGGAGGGAGAGCTCTTTTAGGACTTCTGCACCAAAAGCCCCCCCTCCCCCAATACTCAACATGGCAGGGGCACAGGCCCCTATTGGCCAGTGCCCATGATGACACATTCGGCTAGACAGACTGCCAAAGGTGAAGGGGCTCCTCCTTAAGGTTAGTTTGGCTCAGCAGAATTTACATCCTCTGTTTTCAAGCTGAAGGGCCCCCCCCCTCCAGCACCCAGCGCATCCTGTCCCCACACTCCCTTCGCTCACTGCACTCCCTTTGCCCTAACTGCCTTGTGTACCCTTTAGGATTGCTTGGTGCCACTGGAAGAGTCATCTCTCTATCCTCCGGTTCCATTCCCAACACAGAGCATCCCCTCCCTTCCTTTCTGGGAATGATCAGACACCAGTTTCCTCTGTTTTCAAGCTGAAGGGCCCCCCCCCTCCAGCACCCAGCGCATCCTGTCCCCACACTCCCTTCGCTCACTGCACTCCCTCTGCCCTAACTGCCTTGTGTACCCCCTTTGGGATTGCTTGGTGCTACTGGAAGAGTCATCTCTCTATCCTCCGGCTCCATTCCCAACACAGAGCACACACACGCCCCTCTCCTTTCTGGGAATGATCAGACACCAGTTTGGGCCACAGTTCCATTTTTATTCTAAAGAATGACATGAATAGAGGTGGGGGATACAAACATAGAAACACACAGAAGGGCTCAGCCCAGTTCCCTTGAACAGAGAAGCAGCGGGCTGCAGTGTCTGGTCCTGGTTCCCTCCTCCCACCCCCTCTTGGCCCCCCAGCCAACTAACACTGCCCGGACATGATGCCAGTTCACACGGCAGTAGGGGGATTCGGCAGCTGGAAGGGGTGAGAAGCAGGGTACCTCCTCGCTGTGGGAAGAGATGTGGAAAAAGACCCTGCAGCGCAGAATTAGAACCCCTCCCTCCCCCCGTAGCCACCCCAATTCTCTGTAACCCTACCATCTCAAGCAATACGGACACTCTGTGTTCTTGGCTCCAGGCAGATCTAAGGGCCCTCGCTCCTGCCAGCCGCACACTCAGGACCCCATGATCCTGAAGGCAAGGTCCCGGGTTCCCCACACGTTTGGACCCCTTTGCATGCAAGGGCAAATGTCCCCCCTTCCAAGAGGTCTCCACAACTTGCCAGTCCACCGGGTGTGCGTTCTCCAGGCGCCTCCCTCCTCCCTCCTCCACGGACGCCGGAGACCCCGTGATCCCAGTTGTCCCAGGAGCAGCAAACCGCGTCTCTAGTTGGAAAGGTCCTCCGCACCGGCCGACGGGGGCTCCTCTCCCTCCGCACTGAGCAGGACCAGCTGGATGGCCTTGGGGACGTTTTCAAAGAGAGCGGCCCGGTTCTGCTGCTCGCCCTTCTTGACCCAGTGTCCGTAGATGCGGAAGGCACAGGCGTCGATCAGCTTGCGCACCCCCTTGAGCCCGTACGGGTCAGTCAGCAGCAGCTCCTTGGTGACCGGCCGCACCCGTCGGTAGTTGGAGAAGATGCGGATGGCGGCCCGAACGGTCCACGCGGCCACCTGCCACGGGGAGAGGAGGGGATAACCTCAAGCAACACGTAGCGCATGCGGCTTCCTAAGCGGGAAACTAACAAAGGCACGAAAGCTGGATGGGGGAAAAGAGATCTCTCTCTCTCTTTCCATGCTCTTCTCCTTTCCCTCCCCTCCCAACAGAAGAAGAAGGAGAAGAGATTGGATTTATAACCCGCCCTTCACTTGGAGCCTCTGAGCAGCTTACAACAATCTCCTTTCCCTTCCCCTCCCCACAACAGACACTCTGTGAGGTAGGTGGGGCTAAGAGAGCTCTTTTGAGAACTCTTCTTGAGAGAACAGCTCTGACAGAACTTGTGATTGACCCAAGGTCACACCAGCAGCTACATGTGGAGGAGCAGGGAATCGGACCTGGTTCCCCCAGATCAGAGTCCGTGCTCCTCACCCCTACACCAAACTGGAGACATCCCCTTCTTGGGAATTGTTAAGCGCCCGGAACAGACACAGGTTTGGTTTAATTATGAAAGCACAGGGGATAAGAATAGGGAAGGGGAGGAAGATCTCTACAACGTTTGGAAGACCAGTAGGGATTTGTAAACGATTAACTCCTCAGTTTAACTAGCAAGGGGGGTGCATGCAAAACCACCGACAGGAAGGATTCCCATTTTCTGTCGAAGAGGAAAGATCCAGTCAACAAGGGCTGGGAGAGAGAAGACAGCACTGGAGCAGAGACGGAAACCAGGAGAGAAACACACAGGGATGCTGTGCAGTGGGAGAAAACCACAGCCCTACAAGAGTCTGTCCCTTTGCAGCAGGGCTGAATTGGAGCCGTGACTGGCAGACGCCAACAGATTGATGGCTCTGGGGGCGGGGCGAAGGAAATCCAACACAGGGGAGAGGCTTACTCTGAATTTGTGGTAGGGGCTGAAGTGCTGGAGCTCGCGGCTGCCGCAGCGCTGGAAGAACGAGTGCTGGAGCGCCTGCTCAGCCGTCAGACGTTGGGCCGGATCCACCTGCAACAACCGTGAGATCTGCAAGAGACGCGTTAGGAGGTGTTGGGAGGGAGGCAGCTGCGGGCCACGGGTCAGGCAAACGTCATTATAGGGGGGTGAGCCTTTCCACTGAGATCCTGTCACAAACGGCAGAATCTGGCTTTGCTGGATGGGGAAGAGGCGGACTACGCACAGGCTGCCCTAGGTATCGCAGGGTGTGTGACACGAGCTGGGATTCACACCGACCACCTTACCAGGTCCTTCACGGTGTCAGACCGGTCGTCCCATTCTGGAGAACCAAACTGGTAGTGCCCCTCCATGATCATCCGAAGCATCAGCATCTGCTTGCGGTGCCAGAAGGGGGGGGAGCCGGCCAGGAGGGTGAAGAAGATGACTCCGCAGGCCCAGCTGGGGGTGGGAGGGAGAAGAGAGAGAGAGGCCTCTTACGTCCAAAGAACAGGCAAGCGAGAACAGCGTCAGCCTAACCAGCACGGCACACGACTCGCACGGCTGCTTGGAATCTCGACTGTTTCAGAATTTGTTTTTTAGGAGAACGGTACGTTGCCAGTGTTCTGACCCGTCGTGGAGGCAAAACAAGCAGGCCGCTTCCGATGAACTAGGCCTCGCCGGTGCTGACCACAGTCTAGGGCTGGGCACAGGGGGAAAGGAAGGGGAGGGGTTTCGATACCTTTTGGACAGCCTCCTGTCCCCACCATAGGTGCGTTCTGTACCCCAGCACCTCCCACACAAAACAGATCACCTCTCCCTTAGCTTGCCAAGCGTGCCGCAAGTCTCCAGCTTGCCTTCTGGGGCCTCAGAGGGCAAAAACCTGTCAGAGGGTTGTTTTTTTTTAAATGCCAAGTTTGCCCCTTTCGAAATAATTCCCACCCACATTTTGCACGGTCAGCAGTTGCATTTGTATCACCGACTACATGTAGAATACTGTTCCCAGAGTTTAAAATTCTCTTCAAATCATGAGCTCAGGACTCAGAGGAGGCTTAGCTAGAGGGGACAGATGGGCCTAAGAGGCAGAGACATACTGGCACACGTCCCCCAACCCTTCCCGGAATCGAGTCTGAGAGCCTGGTCTCCCCTCCACGTTCCCATCATGGCAAACAGCTTCAGCTCCTGCCTCCCGACAAGCCCTCCTCCACTTCCTTCCCTCCCTCCGAGGACAGGACATAAGGCCACTCACAGGTCCACCTCCTTTCCGTAGCCAGGATGAGTCTCGTCCATGGAGCATTTAAGGATCTCTGGGGCCAAGTAGCCAGGAGTTCCGCAGAGCTCTGTCAGGGGATTGGAGGAAGAAGAAGA